GACGAGTGTTTTTTTATAGTCATAATAAGTTAGTTGTTAGAATGTTGTGATATATGTGAAATGAACTGAAATAGAATTTTGAGATTATTTATTATCCTCCTGTGATTTCACTGACTGACTGGTGGTAATGATATCTTCCATGCATATCTCTGGTATTTGAATTGAGTCATTTCTGTTGCATGTGTTGGGTGTAGACTCGATGAACCAGACAGGATTCAGTAATCAATCTTTTTCTCTCTTTCTAACTACTTAGTACTAAGTAGCACAAAAAAGATTTAAACGATGAAATGAAACAGATAGTAGAGGCGTTGGTGTTAAATAACTAACTATCCTATAAAATTCATTAGGAAGATCGAAAAAGGCCAAAAGCAAAATAAAAATAATGGTGAAACTAATAATGATAACATATATAGAAGAGAATATAAGGCATCTACTGTTATGCCAAATAAAGAGGGGACATCTGAGGCCATACGTAGAATTCTCAATAAATCAGGAATTAGGGTGGCATTTAAACCTATAAACCCACTGAAAGTGATATGTATCTATATATATATATATATATATATATATATATATATATATATATATGTGTATGGTGATCTCTCTTTCTGTTTGCTCGCTTAGTCTGTGACCATTTCACTTTGATGAACCTGTCTCCTTTAACAATGTATATTATTCCCCTTATATTATATATAATATAATATGAGTGTTTGTTGACAGTCCGTTGTTTGGTGACACATATCCATATGTGGTGGTTGTTTGACATGTCTGCTATATTTTGCTATGTATATATGGATCGACACTCCATTATAATTAGCCATTCATGTTAAGACTCTATTTATTTGTTCACACACTTGTCTGGGCATTCATATATATTTTGCTCTCACACTATTGTGCGATACATTTGATTCTCCTGATGTTTGGAAAATAGAAGTATCATCGCAAACCTAGTGGTCTTCTGATTTCCGCCTTCTTGCGTCAGGACTATTAAATTCTCGACCAGTACATAACAATAATTTAGCGACGAGTACATAACACAAAGGCAAGCTCTGTAGGTTGACCCAGTTAGACAAAATAATATAATTTGCAAAATACCTTGTAATGACCGTGAGTTAAGTCAAATACATAGGTCAAACGTTAGCTAAGTTTAGAATGATTGATCCTAGGAAGACAGATGAGTAATTCAGAAGAATGCTCAGCAATTGCACAGCTTGCATTTACACACAATCACACAATAGGGTGGTAAGAAAGGGTTAAAATTCTAAAAAGTAATCTAGTTAGGTGGAGAGAGAGGTTGTTTACTGAATCCTTGTTCATCGAGTCTACACCCAACACATGCAACAGACATGACTCAATGCAAATACCAGAAATATGGAAGATATTATCCACCACCAGTCAGTCAAATCAGATGAGGATAATAAATAATCTTAAAATTCTATTTCAGTCCAAACAAATTATAACATTCTAACAAGTTACTTATTGTGACTATAAAAACACTCGTCTTATTTCCCAGATGATTGTAATTGATTAATAACACTCATATTATTATTACTTCTGAATGTACACTATCTCATATTGATTTTTATTCAAATGTCCAATCATAAATTCCACTCATGTATATAAATGAAGGAAAAAGTTGTGTGAGTGAGTGAGCAATTTGATATGATTATGAGCAGTGATAATTTGTGCTCGAAACGTGTGGTCATCAGTTAATATTACTGTGTGACACTGTATGATTTATCAAAATAAAATCTTATCCATAATGGAACTTGGTGTCCTTTGTATATTTCCCTTTTGTCATAATAATAATAATAATAATAAACTAATTTAAGTTTTCACTCTACGATGGATACTTTACTCACACACTCGCGTGTACACCCACACGCCACATTTGATTATGATTTGACAAATGTGTGTCCTATATGTTGTCGGCGTATTTGTGCACCGCCCAGTGGATTTATTCTCCCGAAGTGTATTCTTTATTATTATTATTTTTATTATAATTATTATTCAAATTAATTAATTGTTGCACCCCATATAACACATACATACGCATATATTTAGCCTACTTATACATATTTCTTCATTTCGTATTCTGACGATGTTTTTCCTATTGCCTTGAGGGTATTTGGTGGAATATCTGTTATTTTTTTTCATCAGTTGAATCCAAAATTTATTTGGAAATAGTTCTGACTAGTTCGTCGATAGCGCTCGTCTACACTTAGGGTTGACAAAATTCTAATGAACAAGTTTACAAGATGATTAATTAACTAAGTTAGAAAGCTAAAATCGATATTGTTTCTTTGTGTAATAGTTTTGCTGATTTCTGGGATTATTATTGATTGTTCCCTTAGGTCGCGAGTGGAACATACACCCTTTAACAGCACATCTCCACTTTGTTGTATTTTCTGCTGTCCTCTTTAGACCGGCTCTAATCACACGATTCACCATAATCTCTCATGTCCTCCTTCTTCTTAAAACACAATCTCCTGCACATAACCGTCGTACTGACGATCCACTCGTCGCTTCTACTCCACTCGAGTGATGGTGCAGTGGGCGCGATGTCACTTGACGGCCTCCCCAACGTGTACCCGACAAATGTTTTTCGTGATGCACCGGTCGCGTTTCTGATCCATATAATAGAAGAGCTGACTGACTTAACATTCACCCTGAAAATCCAAATTTTTTTCATTAATGCCATGAAGTTCAGATTTCCAAACTGGTTTCAGGTTGATGAAGGTGTATCTTGCCTTTCCGATTTCAACTGGCTTTGAAATCTTCAATGCGTTTGGTCACCTGTGGTTGAAACGATGCTTCCTAAGCCATATAAGCGAAGGAAGTAACCTCTTTCAAATCTCTCTCTGGTTGTGATGGTCATCGGTGCTGGTTGTCGTTGCTGCTGTTGTTGTTGTCGGTTAGTTGGTTGGTTACCTTCACCACCTTTGTCTTCTGCATGTTCAATTGCGGGTGTTGTCTCCGCTGCCTGTTCGCGTCTTCTGCTATTTTGTTGGTTTTTGCCTGCCTCCCTATCAGTCTTTAAATTCGTGTGACATTAAGCATAAATCATCTTAGTGTGAAATCCAGATCTTCTAAAGTCTTCTTATCGGTTAGCTCAGCGTATTCCTCTCTTGTCACATCCCACATACTGTGTGCTGCGTAATCCAGTCCACCACAATTAGGAACATCTTTGGTGATAATAGGCAGCGAACCAGCCAACCTCGTCTTACTCCTGTATTCACTTCGACGGCTTCGTCGCTGAGTTTCCTGTTGTGGATCACCTGACACGTGGCATTGTCATTTAGCTGGCCAGTTGCTGAATGAGGTTGATGAAAATTTGGGTTACTGCACGTCGTAGTGTTGAATTAGTTTGCAAATTACTTTTCGGTCAACACTGTCTGTCGCAGGTCTTTTTGAAGTCGATGAATTTGAGGTGGAGAGAGGTTTTGCAGTCATTCTATGCCTTGTTCTCTGATGATGATGATGCGTAAATTTGCGAAGTGACTCCACAAAATTCACCTTTCCTGAATCCTGCTCCTTCTAGTTGGTGGAGTCCTGCGCATCCAGTACCTCTTCATTTCTCTCCAGAATGATGCGACTTGATATTTTACTTGGCATGGACAAGAACATTATTCCGTGCCAATTCTTCCAGAGGCCTTAGTGGCCTTTCTTTAGTAGCTTGACAAAGTATGCTGTTTTCGATTGCATAATAAACACCTCATATGATTTCATGACAGGAGAAAGTCTACTGTGTTAACGTGTGTGGTGAGAGCTGTCTTTGTGATCTGCCTGATCCTCTAAACCCTCATTGTTCTTTCATGTTGTGGTAAGAGAGCTGTCTGCAAGCCAAGAATTAGTAGACAACAATTTACATCGTCATTGTTTACATTCCGAATCAAGGTCATGAGAAATAAAACAACAACACAATAACAAAGCTCCGCCTTGATGAACTCATCAACCAATCAAAGCAGACTTAGCGTGGGTGAATATGAATCGCACATATATGGTCTGACCTTCAAAGAAATGGACACACAGAGTGATGACAGAATAACCTTGAGCAAGAAAACAACCAATCAGGAGAGGTTGGTTCTCTGCTAGCAATAACGCTAATACTAATATACATAAACATATTTGATTTCCTCAGTAAACGGTCTGTTGCCTGGTCCGTGTCTTCTGTCGTTACGGGAGTACATAGTGATCGAAGGGAAGATAAAGCAATTCATAGTTTACTCTCAGTGATAGATAGGTTGGTTATTGTCATTTTCAGTAGTGGAATTTCTCACGGAAGTGAAGTTACTTTATGGCCAATACGAACTGGAATTTTTACAGTAATTGTCTTTCTCAAAAAAATCCAATTGGAGATTTTTGCACTTTCAAATCGTCTATTAATTATTCTTTACAATAATGTTTAATCAGATCCACAGAATATAAATTTAAAGGTGTGGAGTCAGGTTTGGTACCGTGGTCACACTTGAAAAAACAAATAAATCTAATCCCTACTAACCATCTCTTGAAAATTAATCTGATACTCGCTAGTGACTTGCTTACAGGACAGAGTTCTAGTGAGAAATGACCAATATGAAGTTCATCCAGTCGGGAGTCATCCCGCCGATGATATTAGCTGGTTGTTTGGTACCAGTCGCGCTAAAAATCCTCAACTGGTAGGAGCTAGAATTCATGGGCTGGCCATTGAGGAGTTGGGTCCTAGTGGCTGAATCGTCTACGAGCTCGCTAGCCTTGTAACCGGAAGGTAGGTGCGCCGTTTGAAACCTTGTCTGTGGGGGTGAGTACTGCCGATGATTCCCAAACTAGGCTGCCCAGTACTCCTGTCGTCGTTTTCAATGGTCCTTCCCTAACTGATATCAATCCTTGGTCAAACTCATAAAAAAAGCAAATCTAATCCTTTCAAATCAAATTTTGAAAATGTTAAAATAATGGTGTTAATTTTCAGTAATCAATCAATTTTATTGATTTTCAATTTTATATTTTCCCTCCAAAAAAAGCTGGTTCTGGTCCAGAATCTTCGACACCACGATCATCATCATCAGCAGCATCATCTATTGCTCCTACACTGCCTAGTCGTAATCGACCACAAGTTCGCGGTTCTGGAATTACAGTTCTTGGTCATGGCACAGGTGACGGTCCGTATTATTTAACGCCACAAGATGCTAATCGTGCAAGAGATAAAACACCACAAGGCAAAGTATGTGTAGTGTAGTGTTTTGCTTTTTGTGTTATTGCATTGCATTTTCATGCTTTCATTGTTACACTAAAATAGTTTTCTCTTGTTTCGTTGTTCGCCATTATGCTATTATTATTATTATTGTTATTTCCTTTAATTCCTAGAGGAACATAGGGCTTCAACCGCCCACGTCTTCATTGCGTTCGGTTCTCTGCTAAAGTTTTCACCTGGCTCCAAGTCTGTTCACATGCTTTCATCTCCTCTTCACATGACCTCCTCCAAGTTACCCTTGCAGTGACGACCAACTCGCCGCTTCCCTTTCGGGTTCCACTCGAGTAATGGCTTGTCTAGTGATGTCACTTGATGGTTTCCTCAAAGTAATGCCAATCCATCTCCATTTCTTCCTGCCTATTTGTTTCACAGTCGGTTCCTGGTTGGTTCGCTCCCAGAGATCCCTCCCTGTTTCTGACCTTTTCTGGCCAGCCATCTGATCTTGAGTAATATTGAGGGAAGGCAGCTGTTAATGAAGGTCTGTAGTTTGTCTGAGGTGCCCTTTATGACGCGCCAAATCTCTGATCCGTATAGTAAGTGGCAATGACTTCACGTTGGAGTTGAAAATTCGGGTCTTGTTTTTGATGCTGAGTGCTGTTGACCTCCACACAGACTTGGAATTGGAATTCAGTGATTGGTTATTAGATCGGATCCTAGTTGCCTAACAGTCTATGAGTTCAGTCACCATGCCACCGGTATATGCTGAGTTCGAACCCCTATCTGCGGGTGCGTACTAATGAAGAGTTAGTTCTAAACTAAGCTGACGAAATGTTAAGCTGTACAGTACTCCCTGGTGGTGATCTTCCAATGGTTCTCTAATCTATCTCAACTTATGTCAAGATTCTGTTATCAATCAAATTCTTGCAAATGTTTCTATCAGTCAATCTCTATTTGTTCTCATCTTAGATGACTCTTAACTTGACTGTGTGCCTTTTTTTTTGACACCTTCAATTGCTGTTTAAAAGTACACTTCTAGTTATGCTTTAGTAAACTAGTAAGTAGCAAATCGATGCAATTTTCAAAAAAAGATGTACGATGCAATTAAAATTTGTTGAAAAGATTATTATTCATAATTATTATTATTACTATTATATTCCATTACGTTATTTTGATTGGACACCAGTAACCAGTGTGATGTATCTAGTCCTTTCTTTGGTGGCCACATTGCAAAAGCTGACTGATAGAACTCAGTCTGCACCAGCTGGTTTTCCAATGGTTCTCTAAATAATGTCAGCTCATGATGAAATCCTGTAACCAATCAAATCGCTACAAACCAACACTTGAATAATAATAATAACAATAATAATAATTTACTTTATTCCAAAACAGTACTTGTGATACACAGAATGGAATTCTCAGCATTTCACGACATTATTGCATTCAGTTAGTAGATTAATCGTAAATAAAATTCTACATAGATTATGGGTAGTCTCAGTTCGTTTTGACAACAACATATTGACATATCGGTCGGTAGCAAAGCCAAAATTGAACAGAGTGTTTGAAGGTGTTAGAAAAGTAGATACTAACTAGCATATTTACTGGTGTAAGCGGTAACAAAATGGTCGAGATATACAGAGTGTGAAAGAACGAAGAAGAATGTTTTAAGTGAAGTTTGTAAGGAGGAGAGAAACAAAACAGCACAAAAAAGAGAAAAGGAAAAGAAAGAAAGAAAACGTTGTACCTATAAATGATATGAGTTGGAAAGACGAGGTCCAGTTGTTCTACTGACTATCTAATAAGTTATAGGTATCACGCCTAATGCTTTCTTTATCGCACAGAACGCGAGCTAAGTAGGTAGGGTATGATTGAGTTTTTGTACTTTCTAGTGCGTGCATATAGTTTTCTATATAGGCTTCTGGTCCTGCCTGATGAGATACAAGGGGAGAGTTGTGAATGAAGAGGGTGGTGGTGTGAGTTAGATAGATAAAATGGATTTAGCCCATTTTTCACATGAGTCCAAGTGCCTGTCGACCTGAATATTAACAAGCTGGTTAAGTGGGACGTTGCTTACCCTGCTGACAACCTTTAACATCCTGCGTAATAAGATGTTGTCTTTCTTCAGTAGCCCTAGAAAAAGTAAGGGGGAGCAATAGAGAATAATAGGCAGGATGCCAGAGTTAACGAATCGTAGGAGTAGGGGTTGGGTTATTCCAGAATGTTTTAACTTCTTGATGTAGAAGGTAAGACGGAATATTCTCTTAGAAATCATCAAGATATGAGACGATCAGGAAAGATCAGCAGATAGAATGACGCCAAGATATTTAATTTCTGACTTGGTTTCTATTTCAGTGCCATCTATGTTGCACATCTCGTGAGTACTAACCAGTTTGTTTAGGTCAGATTTGTACCTAAAGGTGAAATTGACTGTTTGGTATTTGGAGGGATTTAAGGTTAGGTCATTTTCCTTGAACCACTGGTTGATTTCTGATAAAAAGGCATTTAGTTTGGAGCAGTCACTTTGACATTTGACAGGCAAAGATACAGTCAGGTCGTCAACATATTTAACAAAATTAATGTCATTTGAAGATCTTAAGTCATGTAGGAAGAAAGAAAAGAGAAGTGGGGAGAGTACAGCACCTTGGGGGGACACCAGCTTCAGTGAGCACAGCAGAGGAGGATTTACCTTCGTATACAGTGTACTGCATTCTGTTTGAGAAGCAGGAATGCAACCAGTTTGTGAATCAGGACTCAGCTTGTGCTATCGAGAACTTATTTAGCAAGAGACATCTAGGTACAGAGTCGAAAGCAGAAGTGAAGTCGAGAAACATGCAACGAACGTATTTGGCACCTTTATCTAATTATGAGACGATACTGTTGTGTAAGACGACTGCAGCGTTTAAAGTGCGCTCCTACCCTGTCTATATGGAAATTGTTTGGGGTCTTCAAAACTTTTAAGGGAGGGTTGAAGTCTAAGAAGTAATAGTTTTTCCATCAGCTTTAGAAACGGGGACGTAATGGCAATGGGTCTGAATTCTATATTCTTGCTATTTCCGATTACTTTTGAGGTCATAGAGGTTCAATCGTTATGCACATAATCTACTCAGAAATTCTCCTCACATGCTCTAGTCATGTGCCCCATTTGTTATTCGGGAAAAAAAGTCACCGAATTTCGCCGTACTTGTTATTTTGTTATTTGACATAACTTGTAACAGATTTCTTTGATGTATTATTTCATGAACTACCACCAGGACCGGATTGAACTCATTACCGTCCGGTTAACAAGACTAGTGAGCTAGTAGACCATTAATCCACTGGGATCCCACGGATCCAATGACCAACCAGTCCATGGATTCTAACTTCTGTCAATTCACGCACGGCACAGTGTGACCACTTCGTCATGTCTTCTTCGATGAGTAACCGTCCTCACCTTCAACCTGCTGTACCCCACTGGTCCCGACTTCTCACTAGAACCCAGGTAACTAACTACCTACTAGGCTGACGAAACAGCTTGCTGTCCAGTACTCCAGTGGTGGTTCTCTAACTGATGTCAGCTCATGATGAAATCCTCCAACCAATCAGACAAAACAAAAAAAAATCCCTACAAAACCTTTACTTGAAAATTATGTGATGTTATATTTTTCCCTGTTTAAGTGAAATTGGTAATGTTCCCCTTTTTTTTAGGTGCACATCGTAGAACCGTGTAGTGATTTCATTTGATTGATGATAACCAGCAGTTGAATCCAGGATACCTATTTTTACCCATTTGAGACTCATCATCTGGGTGTACGTACAACTCTCACTGAGTAGTACTGCCTTATGAAACCAATGAAATTCCTGATGGGAAACATTTGAAAATTTTAAACACTGCCTGTTAGGGATTGGCAGCGCATTCTCTGAGGAGTCCCAGATAGGACGAAATGCAACTTATCCACCACTAAATAATCCTCAAACACATCGTTGAAGCGTCTGTACTAAAAGCCTACATGGTGTTAACGCATACTGAACACTTCAGTTTAATCCAAAATTGCATAGAGGATTTCATCATGAGCTGACATTGGTTAGAGAACCACTGAAAAACCTGCGGAGAGTACTGGAAAGCTGTCTCGTCAGCCTGGTTTGGGACTCTTCATCAGTACCCACACACTGGAGTTCGAGCCCAGGACCTCCTGGTTGCAAGGCGAGCTCGTAGACCATTGGGCCACTGGAACCTCTTATTCAATGGCCAGCCCATGAATTCTAACTTCTGCCAATTCACGACATAGCGCGACCATTTCGCATTGTCTTCTTCGATGAGTTACTGCCTCATCTTCAACCTGTTGTAGCCAACTGGTCACAGCTTCCCACTAGAACCCCAGGTGACTCCCTACCTGAATAGGGTCAGTCTCTAATGAGCATCAGATTAATTTTCAAGTATCGGTTTGATTGCAATCAAACAAAATCCCTACAAAACTAATACCTGGAAATACAAAATTAACTTAAACTGTTTCAACTGATTTAAAAAACATTTTTTTTAATTATTCGTATAGCCATCACCTAACAGTTCTAATGATAATCGTGAATGGAACAATCCAGCGAATTGGAATCCAAATACTACTACACCAGTAAATCAGTTGAATAAACCATCACAGTTAAGAAAAACCTCTTCACCACCAACACCAACTGATTTTGACGCATATTATTCACATCAAACTGGAGATCATAATCTACCACCAGCGCCGAACTATCATCCTGCTGATGATGTTGTAGATGTTGACGATGTTGACAATGATGGTAATGTTGGCTATGGTCTAGATGATATTGACGATGAAATGACTAAAACTACAGTGGATGAATATATTGAAGATGATTTAGACGCGTCAAGTTCATCACCACCAAACGATCATAATATTAATAATATTAATAATCTACCTAGAATAATGCCACCACCATCTTCAATGAAACAACCGCCTGATCATCATCCTCCTCCTGTGCATTCTCATCATCAACATTCTAGTCCTAATCAACACCAACAGTATGTATCGAATAATTATCGACCTAGTGGTGGAGGTGTTATAGATCCTTCTCATCAGCTGCAGCATCATCAACTTCAACAACAACAGCACCAAAGACAAACTGCCTATAGAGGTAGTTGTTCTCGATTGGATCCACGTGGTGGTGTATGCATGAATACAGCAGAGATGGAATATGGTGAGCCACCGTTTGAAGATTATGTTATTGTTAATTCAGATGGTTCAGGTAAGTTTAATTATGTGTAGTTTCATCTCTCCTATCCTTCAAAATGTATTATCTCTCTACAGTCAAGTTATATATGTTATATACTGTCTGTTTCGATTCAACACAGAACTTGGCACCGAAGTGCAGCAGTTCCAGTTGCCACGTTCCAAATAGCACACAAAAGTAGACAAGAAGATGAGTGAAGAGAATCAATAGAGTTTGACAAGTATACGAGTGAAACAGAATGGGTAATGGTAATGGTAGAAAGGAATATGAAAGATTACAGAGACTGAATACATCTGCGCTGGCCATTGACAACGATTTTGAGCCATGTCACCTATTGTCTCCAGTTATTGATTCCTAGAGTCCCGAGGGCCCCAACCCGGGAGTCTGCATCTCCCTACCTGACCGACTCAGTTTAACTGTCAAGGATTTCATGGATTGATGAGGCCATGTTTTTGTTTGGCCACCGCTTACTCTTTGTTAACCTGCACCTATATCAGCTAGTAATGCCAGTCGGGGGAGGCGATGGTTAGGCATGCGCAGCGCGTGACCTAGCCATCTCAATCTATGTAGCTTTATAGCCTCGTCGATTGATTTTCCTTCTTTGCCCAACACTCTACGCCTAACGTCACCATTACTTACCTTATTAAACCACCTAACGTTATATACAATAAAGGGGGGGGGGAATTGTGTGTAACAAGAATCTCTACAGGAACACTGTACTTCACTTGTCAGTGTCAAGGCAAAACACTGGGACCTAATGGAACGACTCTAGAGGTGTTTAAGGGTGGTGGAGACAGTTTAATATCTGCGTTAATTGAGGTATTAAGGCAAAGTCTAGGAGTCAGTGGTACTTCCTTCGGGCTAGTTTAGGTCATTGATTATTCCGATATGCAAGAAGGGGGACAAGTCTTCCTGTGATAATCGTAGAGGGATTAGTTTGATTAATTTGATATCTAAAGTTCTAGGTTCAATAATCATGCGTAGACTAAGTGGTGCTTGGGAGAAACGAACATGGGAGAATCAGGCAAGCTTTAGACCGAGAAGAGGGTGTATTGAATATATTCCTACTCTTTAACAGATTCTGGAACATAGGCATACTCACCGGCGTACAACAATTGTTATATTTCCATCGCATTGATTGAGAGGTACTATGGCGAGGTGTGACTGTGAAGGGGATACCGATAAATTAAATAGCAATGATCGAGGCACTCTACTCGAACTCATGCAGCCAGTCAGATGAGAGTCTACAGAGAGTTATCATCTGAAGTGATGATAACCAGTGGTGTCCGTCAGGGATGCCTACCAATGTCCCCATTTCTCTTTAATTATGTCATGCATTTACTAATCGACTTAACCCTAACTGACTTCAGCGACTCAGGGATTGACATATTACCAGGGAATAATCTCGTTGACCTAGAATATGCAAATGATATAGTCTTCTCTTCTAGGTGAACACTGACAAAATAGAGCAGAGTCTTCTGAACACCTTGATCAGTGAGCAGTCTTCCAATGTTTGGTATGAGATTCGCTCCTGCTGTCAAATGTCATATGATGCTTGCTACAGGACTGGATTAAACTACATTGACTTACTACTAGCTTAAAGATAGGGAGTGAACTGTTGTATTGTGTTGACCACTTCACTTATTTGAGAGGAAGTTGCATCAGCCAAAGCTTGGAAGTTGATCGCTGCCGAAATCTCAACAAGGCTCGTTTGACGCATATCAACATACTCCATCTCTGGCTTAGTAGACGTGATATCTGGTTGGTTATCGTGCAAAGGATGTGTGTACTGATCACCAGCACTTCGCTGCGTCCTCCTTTACGGCTGCGTCGGAGACATCTCGATTTAGAGTGGAAGACATGGAGAGCCTAGTTAGCTTTCTTTGATCATAAGTGTCTACCTTTCGTCAGCCGTGTTAGGTGATGGCATAGTGGGGTGAGTAATATTGAGGTCAGGCAACGGCGGTCGAGTGTTAAGCAGGTAAGGATGGGGAAATCAGTCGACGAGCTAGTTGTGAAGTTACTGCATCGATTGAGATAGATGGTATATAACATGTGTTACGCATACCACCCTAAAATCGATCGCCCTCCTCCATGATGGTTAATGTTAGCTGACTGACATAGGATAGATGAGGCTAGAATAGAGATAACACATTGTGTTCAAACCAAAATTGCTTCATCAGTCAATCAAATACATAACAGTTAGTTCAAGCCAGTGAACCACATAGGGAGGTGTAGACTTTCTGACTGGTTGGGGTTCTAGGGACGGTAAGAACTGATTACGGCTGGAGACAATTCGTCATATGGCTTTAAGTCGTTGTCATTGGCTGTTACAGATGCTTTCACTCTTTGTGATGTATGATATCCAATAAAACTCTGTTGTTTTCCCACATTAATGCTCTCTTTCCCTCACTCACACTTCTGTTTATTATCCCTCTGTCTTTTGGATTTCTCTTTATTCTCTTCTGTTACAAGAAGGGAATGTGGCAAATGGAACTGTTGCACATCTGTGCAAAGTTCTATTTTGAAACCAGTCAGTCAGTCAGTCAGAATAATCTGTCGTCTCGAAAGAGAGTTTAAGGCGCATTCTTGATATCGTTTTAATCAGTCATCAGTATTCATTAACTGTGTCACTGTCAGCAAACTTATCCTATTCTAATGTGTTCATCTTAAATGAGGAAAGTTCATGTACCTATGTAAGTGTAGTACCTGAGCCACTGTAGTAGAGTATAACTCCATATTAGATAAGCTTATATGTGTGATGTAACACAGTGATACAGTAGTGCCTAGTTGGCTATACTTGAACAAATATGAGTTATGCGCATCTGTGTTAGTAGATGTGAATGTCTGTTGTTGTGTGTTCTTTCCCTGAATGACATAATACCATTTGTCTACTTTCACCCAACATTACACAGCTGTTCCTTCTTTCTCAACTGTAATATCACTCTATTCGGGTAATGTCTTCAGATAAATTTAGCAAAATTGTCTGTATACGAATTCCACAGATTAGTCGATCAATTCTGTTCATCATTAGTTACATCAGTTACATTCACCTTTGAAAGATAGACAACAGTGTGTGGCATTTTGAACTAACTAAGCAATCAGCTAGCTGACAGGCTGTAAATCAGTGTTAGACACAGATATCACTATATGCAATTTAGCATTACTATGCACCTGTCAAATTTATGACACCTTTATTTCGAAGTAATATTCCTTGGATTGATTTGATTGAATCGTGACCGACTTCTAGTGGGACGCGTAATCTGAAAAGGGGAAGGCGAATAAGGATATCATTCATTCTCTACTGTAAAAAATCTGGTCTTACTCCCCTTTATTGAAATTTAACAAATGGCAACCAGGTAAGTGTCTGAAATGAGATGGTACAATATGATTAAAACCGAGTGATGGTGGTGGTCGTTCGCTCATGATACGAAGTGAAAAGAAACGACAAAGAAGCTGTTCCTCATCAATTGGAAAAATAATGCGTTTACGTAATTCCAGTAGTAGTTTGTTTATTAGATGTATCACACACACGCAGTGAGTGAAACAGTATTATTTACTGGATGACGCAGTTTGGAACACAATTCATTATTGTTCACAATCATTTCATTAATTAAAATCACACGATTTTGAAACTTGAGTTTTATAGTTTCCTTTGTCCTCTCCTATTTGTCGTCGTTGGGGTAGTAGGATTTTCCAGATATCCGACTGGACAGGTGTTGAATCATTCCTATTACACGTATTCACTCTCAGTTGATTCGATAAACACAGCTTCTGTTATCAATCTCTCCCTCCACACTGTGACATTAGATTTTAAAACTGTCATCCTATCTCATCCAGTCTATTGTATGGTTATGTGTAACTGCATGTAGCGAATTCTATACCTGAACTTTCCTCTAGATTTCTTATCTTATTCGGGTCAACCAATCTATATATTTTTTTTCTTTCACATTCCCCAGTGGAACATCATGCTTCAAGTTAATGGCTTGAAGTTTCTGTAGCAGTGTTTATTTTTACAGGATGGGGTTGCTAGCCTCATGCCTAACCTTTCCTCTTTACCAGCATTATTTCTGGCTTAGTGAGGTGAGGGAGTACGTCGGCCGGGGATCGAACCCTCGACCATGTGCATGGTCGGCGAGTGTCTTAGTCGGTATTCCATGTAGGAAGGTGTAGACTTCCTGGTTGGGGTCCTCGGGACGGTAAAAACCAATGGTTGGAAACAATTGGTGGTGACATGGCTCAAAATCTTTCTCAGTGGCGCAGATGCATCCACTCCTTGTGACTTATGATTTCCAATGTTCTTCGTTATTACTCTTCCTTTGTCTCACACCTCTGCTTACTGTCTCTATTATGCTTTTCTTGTACTTTTTTATCTTGCTTCGTGTGCTGCAAGGAGTAGAGTGTGGCGACTTGAACTGCCTCACATATGTGCATATTCTATGTCGAAAACAGACAGACATGCCACCGACGCAATCTATATTTCGCTAGGTTTTTATGCTCGGCTGGTCTGACTGCTCCTGTTTTACTTTTTTTACCCATGTATTCGACCTGACAAACATTTCAGATATCTGGAAAATCCTACTACCGCTACAACTACAAATAGGAGAAGACAAAGGAGACTATTAAACTGAAGTTTCGAAGTCGTGTGATTATAACAGATGATGAAATGATTATGAACAAAAAGTAAATTTTGTTCGAAACATTGCCATCCAGTAAATACTTATACTATTTCACTCGCTATGTGATACATCTAATAAAGAAACTAATCTGGAATTACTCACTACCAAAGTGCTCAAGTCTTACGCATATAATAATGCGTTTACGGTTCAACCAACCATTGATGTGCTCCGAGTTCGATTCCCCACTAACTGACTGACAAACTGCTAAACTCTTGCTTAATTTACTGGATTAATAAATTATTACGCAATAAATTACAACGAGAATCCTGTATACTATATGAACACTATGTCCATAATAAGGCTGTTATTATCATGAAAAGTTGGTTTGTAAGGCTA